TGGCTCTGCTTGCTACAGCTCTGCTCTCTCTGAGCTGTGCTCTGGCTTTGGGGCTGCAGCTCTGCTTCCAGCAGCTTAGCTCGGGCCCCTGCTCTCTCCTTAGCTCAGCCCCACTCTGACTCAGGCCATTCCAGTTCACACGGAGGACGGGACAACCCTCTGGCCTCCTGACTCCCTGATTAGCCTGCCCGCCCTGTCAATCAGGCTGATCTGGAGCATTGGCCTTTCCCCATTGTACCTGGGGACTGTCAGTCTCAGGCTCCTGATTTGCCATCGACCCTTCCCCTTTTAGTGCTGGGAGCTAGCCAACCAAAACACCCCCACTGAGTGTTAGTAAGGGGGCAACAGTCCCGTTACATTGGCATGTTATAGCCACTGACAATTGTATTTGTTGTCTGAACTTATTGCAGACTGGGAACCAAGCTGTGCTGCTGCTTGCTATGCATAGCTCTGCAGTAGGATGAGCATTCAAGGGACTAGCTACACTCAGATACTGGCTGGGAGCTAATGGGTTTGCCAAAGATTTCAGTCGCTAATGGAGTTTGTTTATGATGTCTTTCTGATAGTGCACATGTTATGCCTACGTTATTCCTATCAAAGATATGATTAGGGACTGTCATGATAAATTAACTTGATTCAGCTTTGCTTCCATTTCTTTTTAAATCTTTTAGTGAAAAGAGTGAACATAAAAAGCAAAGGCTAAATTATGGCCCCTCCCTAAACTGCTTCATTTACTGCTACAAAGCCTGTGTACAAATTATTTCTCTACCATTGTTTCATACAATTTCTCCAGAATACAAAAGCAAAAAGTCTTTCACTTTTGCATATTAATTTCCTCTGGAAAACCAAAACTTTCTAGGAATCACTAAATATTACCAAACTGGCTATTTCATTCTGTTAGCTTAAGAAATAAGAAAACATTCTCTCCATACTTGTATTCTGTAAGTATAAACAATCATGTATTAGGATCAATGATAGATAAGTATAGCACACCTCTTCCAAACAAATGGTTCCCATCCTGTAAGGTGCTATGGACTTTCTCTGTCAAGAGAACCCTCACTGACTAAAATTGGAGTTGTGGATGCTCAATTCTTCCGAGGATCAGGCTTTAAAACATCAATCCTGCTCCCACCGAAATCAATTAGAGAGTTTTGCCATTGATTTCAGTGTGATCAGGATGAGCTCTAAAAATGTATTTTACTCTTGAATTGGCAGAAAATTGGTTTGAAAATCAATCGAACTCAGGCTCTTAAATCACTTAGGTGCTTTTGACATTTTACCTCCAATCCTGAATTCTTCAGGCAAAACTCCCATTCAACCCTATGCAGAGGAGCAATGCAAGGTCTGTAGTATTCTTAGGCCCCAAGTTTTCAGCCTCATTTGTAGTGTACTTGGTGACACATCAGTATTATTGCTCCACAAACAGGTTTTCCTCCATGGATAAAATGCATTCCTCTGTAGGGACAAAGCACAAAGGTTATGCACCACTTGAGACTCACTTACACCCATATGGGTCTTAATTTGTAAGTAGGTCTTATACTAGTCTGGATAAAGTGGGACTTGTATAATGTGTAGATCTTGAACTGGCCTTCCATATAGAGGTGAATGCAATCCACAGGGAACGCAGTCAGTTTTTTGTCTTTATCAGTAGTTATGTCCTAAATTATTAGGGATTAGCACAAATATTTCCCCCAAAAGAATCTGCAGAATGCTACAGTATTTTCTAAGTTCTAAGTACACAGTAGAGAGAGAATAACATTTCCTAAATCTTAGTGTATGCTGGAGATGTTAATACATAGATTGCAGCAGCATCTTTAACATTAGTAATATATTGCTAACTGTTTTGTATAAATGGTAGATGAAGAATCTGGAGTGAACTGAATTTCTCTTTTGGGGACAGTACAAATTATGAAAATGGTGTCAAATACATTATTTGCTCAACATGTTGCCTTTGGTTTTCCAAATCTTTTAAAAAATATATACTCCTCAATTAGAAACTCTTTTATGATATGTTAAAAAAAATGACACAACATTTCAGGCTGCATCACAAAAGGGTGACTTCTTAAACAAATGTTAGATTCCATGTTTCCAAAATGAATGTTAAGTAATAAAACATTTGATGGGAAAAGCTCTTAACACATAAAAGGATATTGATGTCAACTCATGAACCTGCCAGAAAAACGAAAGTGAGATAAATACTTGAAAATACGGCATTGCTATCGCAGGTTATCAGCAAAGTTTAAATTAAAAAATAAGGACCGAAGAATAATTATAGCTGTTAGAGAGCATGGAAAAGCAAGTGTACTGCAGAACATATGACAGTCATGTTTATGGAATCAACTTTTGTGGGAGCAAATTCTTGTTATTACATTTCCAGCTTTCTGGTACCTAATGCAATGAAATACATTTTAGAATGATTTTAGTGAAATGATACTCCTACAAAAGTTGACTGAAAACTGAATTTGTACGAATTATGGCAAAAGCAAAGAGGGAGAATCCTGTAACAACTTTTCAAGATTTTGATTCTTTTGAGCAATTTATTCATACATTGAATGATACTCTTTCAAAATACAGAGGTCTTGCAAACTGCTACTTGTGGAATGTCTGGAATCCTACTCACTTATCGGGGCTTTCTACAAGCACAGAAATCAGCTCATATAGACCAATTTACAGGATCAGAGCCTTGGACAGTAACTGAATGATAATATATATGTAAATTTGTCAGGTAATATTTTTTGCTTTGGCGTTGTGGGAAGGCATTGCCTTTCTATTTACTTCCTGCTCTTTTTTCTTATGGTTTTATGTTCTCTCTTCTCTGTCTATATTTCCCCATCTATATTTCTGATTGAAATGGTTAGTTTTTAAGAATTATGGCACAAGCCCTCTGCATTGCAAACCCTCTATATCCTTCCAT